TTCGTAGTAGGAATCTTGTGAGCGTTTCGGTACTATCTCTGCACACAGACCATGTGAGTTATTTTCTTTATGATCAGTGAAATAACAAGGACCAAGCTGGCTTGAGAGGAGGAAAATGTTTTCAATTTTCTACCTTGAGCAGCTTGATTTCTTCTTCTCGTCCAAAGAATCTGTTTCGTCAAGCAGTGCTGAGCACAGTTATGTGATGGAGGGACCTGCATCTCCCCAAAATAAAGGCCTGAACTAATGAGATGCCGAATCTCTCCTGTTAGTGAGCTCCATCAATTACCCCTGTAGACGATGGGAATTGCGGACGTTTGGCATTTGCAGGAATTGCTGAATACCTTGCTGGATTGGGCCCTGGGTATCTCCAGGTTCATAAAACGAGGGTGGCTTTTTTGCTTTAAGGCTAAAGAGACGGTGCCATAATTTTGAAGTAAGTCAGGCTCTAATTTTTACTTCTTATGGAGGAATCCTAACAAAGTAGTTGCTGCACAATTAGTTGCTCATTGTTTCTGCCTTGTTTCAAATTCTTTGATTACCCGTCTCAGCTAAGGGGGTTAGATAACCTCTTCTCCCAAGAAAACTTATGTCAGAGCCGAACAAAAAGGTAGTACTTTCGCATTAGTGGCTGATGTGATTTTAGCGCTGAACAGATCTATGGAGAATAAATGTCATCTGTTCTTCAGATTTTAGCTGTGGTTTTCTGTGTGAAATGCTGTTGACTGGAATAATTTTCACCCTGCGCTTCCTGGCTGATTCTGGCAAAGCCATACCCCATGTAGCGCTTTAGAGTGAAAGATCTAAATATTTCCATGAGCAAAAGAGTGTTGGATTTCTTGTGTGGTGTTGGCATAATGGGCTGACATGAAACAAGCAGACGCTGGACCAAAGAAAGTAGTCGGCTTGTGAAGAGATGGGAACAATTTCATCTCTATAAACTGCTGTCTCCTTGAATTCATCCATGAATATTCGTCAGGTTTAGCAGCACTTTGCTGCCGTGTATTTAATGGCTGTTTAGGCTTGGCTAGGGTCCTTCAGAATGGCTGAGGAGGGTGAGTTTGAATTTACATCTCCTTTGCATCTCATAGGTGTATGAATTAATCTAGGAGAAAATGATCAGCATCTTTGTCGATCAAGATGAGCTAACAAAATCGGTTACAGAAATGGATTTCTTTGTAATGAGTGTGCTTAAATACCTGACATCATGTTCCTTTCTAAAGACCATTCTAAGCCAAAGGTTCGGTAACAGTAACTCCTGGATACCTAGAAATTAATCTGTTTCCAGTTAAAATGTCAATGCATATCAAATGGATATGAAATAAACCCATGTCTGTAGCTGCTGTGCTGTTAAGAGGTTATTCATAGCTACATTTTAATCATATCTCCTTAAACAAAAGTTTTGAAAGTAAATTTGTAAATGAAATACTGCAAGCTGTGTTTATGGATGGACTTAGAAAGTGCTGAGGCCCTTGGTATGATTTCTAATTACAAGGGCATGGCAAATGTTTGGTTTCTGAGAAAGGCGCATCATGCAAGTTGAGTCTCGAGACGTGGAGGGTGAATTTAACATAAACTGCACTTGGCATGCAAGGAGTATCAAAAGTGACATGTAAAGCAAACTTAACCTTCACCGACGTAAAACTCTGGAACTCGGGAAGAAATGGTGCTTCCGAAGATTCCTACATAGATCTTGACAATCTAAGCTATCTTTCTAACTATGTATTTCTGGATAGCTGTACAGAGACACTAGAGGTATGAAATACAGTTGTGCAGCCAAAGTACTGGTACTACGTAAAGGACAGAAACTTCCTAATTAATTCCCCCCCACCAAGAGTTCCCTATTTATCCAGTTCTAATCTAATCAGTCTTGAAGTCTGCCTGTCGCGGCTGGGATTTTGCATCCCGCTGTACGTGGCACTCCACTTCCCTTGAGGTGTGAATTGGCTTCGGTCTTCCGAGAATACTAACAAAATACTAACCGTCCGTTCAATACCCGTTCTGTTTTGTCAGGCTAAAGTAGAACTACTTCTCATGTTTTAAGCCGAAAGGCACGTAAGCCTTAAAGCTGGCAGTCTGCAGGCTTGGGATAACACCAGGGCAAATGGGAGACGTTGCTTAATACTGAGGTTAAGTGTACGATAACTCTGATGCTTTCAGCTTCTAGCGAGGGAGGGAGGGGGCATCGCTCCGGAGCACCTCCCGCCGCATGTTTGCGGTGGCAGGAATGGGCAGGAGAGCAGCTGCTGGTACGGGGGCTCGGGGAGAGGAAAATGGACACTGGGGAGGAAGGATGCGTGGCAATGACCTTCCAACCTGGCGCAGGACAGCCTATTTCCTGAGCTGCTGACTCAAGGGTACAGCAAGCCCTCCCCATGCGTGTCCTTGGTTGGGATTGGGCAAGAGAGAGGGAAACGGTGGTCAGGCACCTCAAATTTGCTGGGAAATGAGCAAAACTTGAAACCTGACATGAGGTTTTTGGTGTGAGTCTGGGAACTTA